AGGCTGTGTGGTGAGTGTTAGGGTGGCTTGTGCTGTGCTTTGGCTTCTGTCCCCATCTCAGTTCTCTGCATCCTATAGAAGCACCAATAATTGAGCAAAACTCATCTGTCCTGTGGCTCTGTCTGAACCACTCTCTGCTCAAGCCTTGTTGTTCATGGCTTCCCAGGGAGCAGCTTCCAGGGTCCTGCAGGGAACGGCCGTGTTTCCATGGGACTGGTGCCTGGCTCACTGTCCATGAGGGACTCGGGGGCAGCTCATTTCTCGTGCACAGAAGTCTCGTGTCTTCCAGGTTCCCACAAACTCCCCAACACCCCCCCTCCCCACCCAACCACCACCAGCAAAACAAAACCAGAAATGGGCAGAACTGTGTCAGCCCCCAGCATACCCGCATCCACCTTGTCGGCAAATCCTGTAGGTTCACTGCGGAAGGTACCCTGCAGCTCCCACCTCTGGTCGCGCTCTCCTCCACCACCCAGGCCGAGCACCCAGTCACCCAGGGTTATTGTAGTGGCCTAATCTGCCTCTCCGCTCCTGCCTTGGTGCCCTCAGGCCGCTCTCAGCACAGCAACAGTAGACCACAGCCCCCTGCCCTTGGCCACCCCCAGGTTACCCTGGCCATGAGGCCTGGGCTATCTGACCTCATGCCCACATTCCTGCCGCTCGCTGGCCCCAGCCCTCCACCTGAGGGCTCTTCCGCAGACACCTATGACTCACCCCTGCCTTTCTTTGGACATTGGCTCACCTTCCAGACCTCCTGATCTGCAATCTGCCAACCCATTTCCAGCCCACTGTCCTTTCCCGCTTTGGTGTCAAGTCGCCATCCTGCCACTCTCCACATATCCTCTCCCCTCTCCCTGCCCGGAGAATGCGAGAAGTGCAAGAATTGTGTCTATTTCATCTGCTGCTGAATGGGGCCTGTCACACCGCAGGCCCCGCAGTACAGCATGACTGCGTGGCAGAGCAGCTTCCAGAGTTTTCCTGCCACATTAGATCTGGAGGAGTTCTTTTAATGTTTCTTCTGCCTTTAATTAAAAAATAAAAAGATTTTAGACTCTGAAATGTTCTAGGGGGGAGGGGATGGCAGATGGAGAGGAAGAAGGCAGGTTCTGGAGAATCACGAGTGGGTTCTGAATTCTGTCTGAGGTGCTCCTATGTGAGGCTGCACCCCTACCTGCGAGCATGATCAGCACGCACACACATTCTTCTTTCTTCTTGTCCCATAGGCCCCCATGACCCACACCACGTCTCCCCATGTCCCGCTTTGCTGTATTAGCACAGGTGTCTGAAGGGTTTATTTTTAATTCATTGAAATAAAAACAATGTGAGATTAGAAGAATGTTTTAAACCATTCAGAATGATGTAGAAAGTCTACTCCCCTGATCTATAATTCCTTTCACCAAAGGCAGCTCTTGTTAATAGCCATGTACCCTTCTAGGGAAAAAACACATGCATAACACCAACATAAATATATATCCTTTAAAAATGGATATGAACAGGAGTGCCTGGGTGGCTCAGTTGGTTAAACATCTAACGTTGGCTCAGGTCATGGTCTCGCAGTTCACGAGTTCAAGCCCCATGTCAGGCTCTGTGCTGACAGCTCAGAGCCTGGAGCCTGCTTCGGATTCTGTGTCTCCCTCTCTCTCTGCCCCTCCCCCCCATCTTTCTCTCTGTCTCTCTCAAAAATAAGTAAACATTAAGAACATTTTTTTAATTAAAAAAATGGGTATAAACATGGGCACGTGGCTGGCTCAGTAGAGCATGCAACTCTTGATCTCGGGTTTTGAGTTTCAAGCCCCACATTGGGTGTAAGGATTACTTAAAATCTTTAGGGATACCTAAGTGGCTCAGTCAGTTGAGCATCTGACTCCTGATTTCGGCTCAGGTGATGTTCTTAGGTTTTGTGAGATCAAGTCCCACAAATCAGGCTCTATGCTGATGGCATAGAGCCTGCTTGGGATTCTCTCTCTCTCTCTCTCTCTCTCTCTCTCTCTCTCAAAAATAAAGTAAAAGAAAAAAAAAGCTACCCTCTTAAAATAAAAATAAAATCTTTTTTAAAGGCTAAAAAAATAAAAAGGGTATGAACAGAATGGTGGTAGGCATATTTTTCTGCAATTTATTAATATAATTTGGAAATCTTTCCACATGAGTCCATGCAGATTACCTTGTTGTTTTCAGTGACAGCCTAATGTTGCGTAGTACCGTGACGTATATACCCAGCCGCACACTGGCAAACATTGGTGTCTTTCCGGGTACTTGTTAGGACAATATTACAGTGAAGATCCCTGTATATCTTGGCACATGTTGTGCCTGTAGAACACACATCTGGCAGTGCATTGAAGGTTAAAGGGGTCTGGGCACTTAAAATTTTGATTGTTATTGCCAGATGAAATGTTTGTCCTGGTGTATGCTTTTACAGTATGTTTTCCTCTCAACTTTTTATTTCAAAATGTTGGGGCGCCTGGGTGGCTCAGTCAGTCAAGCATCTGACTTCGGCTCAACTCATGATCTCACGGTTCGTTTGAGCCCCGCTTCAGGCTCTGTGCTGTCAGCATGGAGCCTGCTTCAGATCCTCTGTCTCCCTTTCTCTCTGCCCCTCCCCTGTTCATTCCTTCTCTTTCTCTCTCTCTTTCTCAAATAAACATAAAACAATTGTTTTTGAATGTTCAACCTACAGAAAAATCTAAATAGTAATTTAGTGAATACTCAAATAGCCTTCCTCTGGGTTCTCCAACTACTGTGTTGCCACACGTGTTAGTGTGCTAGGGCTGCCATAAAGTACCACAGACTGGAGGGCTTGGACACCAGAAATTTCTCTTCTCACAGGTCTGGAGGCTGGAAGTGCCAGGTCAAGATGTGGGCAGGATCGGATTCTTCCAAGTCCTTTCTCCCTGGCTCGCAGATGGCACCTCACAGGATCGCCCCTCAGTCTGTGTGGGTCCTAATCTCTCTGTAAAAGGACACCAGTCATGTTGGAATAGGACCCACCCGTATTACCTCCTTTTACCTTAATTCCCTCTTTTAAGACTTTCTCTCTAACTACAGCCACATTCTGAGGTACTGCGGGTTAGGAACTCCCCCAGCGTGAATTCAGGGAGTGAGGATACAATTTTTCCCATGACACCACATTTACCTCCGTTCATATGTTATGTGTCATATTAATATAAATAATAGGTTTATTACATAATTACTGAGATTGTGTTTATTACAATGTGTTATAATTACACCCTGTGTAATATGTAGTTACTTTATATGATTATATAAGGTGTAATTTTTTCCCTAAACTAACTGCCAGTGAGTTGCAGCCATCCTGGTACTTGAGCATGTGTCTCCTCAGAATGAGAAGGTGCTGCCCCTCAGGACATGTTTATTTTATACTGATGAGGACAGAGGCCCCTCAGGCAGAAGCACAAACGCCCATGAAGTGGCCCTGGTCCTGACTGGGGGCTTTCCCTCCAGATTGTTTTCTCCTGGCCCAGTTTCCTCTGCGTCTCCATCCCCCAGCACCCAGGCCCTCAGTGAGACTTGGGTTCTTGTGGGGAGGAGACCCCTGCCTTTGAGAACCTTTTGGGCCAGCAGAACCTCCTGGCCCCACCTCCAGATTCTTTGATGTTGTTGACATTTGGGGATCTGTGATGTATCAGCAGAGTGACAGACGTCCTTACAGTTCCTCCTGCTTGTTGGTCTATCAAAATGTCTCTCTGAACACCATACCTGTTTTGTTTCTGTGTACAGGTAGTCCTTGCGTTGCAGACTGCAGACTGCCTGTTTTCATTTAAAGTAGCAGGGTCGGTTGATTCGGGCACCAAGCTCTCCCTCCCTGTGTCCTCCTCCTGCATGCTCATTGGCAACTCGGAGCTCTGCTGTTGGTTTTCACCCACTGCCTTAGTAACGAGGACCCTCCATAGGCTTGCATTGTGGTGTTTCTTCCTTGGTACTTTTGTGAGGGGCGACATCACACATGCAGCACTTTCGGTGTTTGTGTCGGGATAGACCCGTGGAGACAGTCTGCAGACCCAAGGTGAAAGTGCCAGTTTGGGCGGTCCTTTGCCTTTTGAGGTCGACCTGCTGGTGAAGGAGCGCCCCACCCCGCTGGCTGTTCTGTAGCCAGGAGCACCCCCGCCTGGTGCTAGGGCTCAGCCAGCATTTTCTCCAGCCCCAGAAACCCACCATCTACATGATTCAGAACCATGTTTCTAAAACACGATCCCAACTATGTCTTTGACTCTGCTTAGCACTCTGCCCTGGCTTTTCCTTCCCTATGAATTCATTCCAGGTTCCTTAGCCTGGCATTCAAGACCCTGCGTCATGTGGCTTCTGCTCCATTTGTCTGCCGTGTTATGTCCCTGCACCTATGAGCTCATGGTGTGTGCTCTGTCCCCTCCCTGGTCCATTCGCTCAACTTTGCTAACTTTCAGGACCTGGGTTGGCCGCCTCGCACCAGTGAAGTATCTCCTGACCAAGGCCCTCCCAGGCAGGCAGACGTGGTCATCCTTCCCTCATGCCCTCACTCTGCCTCAGACATACCTCTTCTCTAGCACTTGCCTCACTATATGGTTGCGTGCCTGCCCTCCTGCTGGACAGCTGCCTTCGCCTTTGTCTCAGTGCCTGGCTAGTGGCCCAGCCACTAGATGGGTGGATGAATGGATTTGTCATCATGTAGAGCAAATTCTGAAGTTGGAGGTAGCTGCATTCCACTTTGTGGTTTCCAGGCCCTGAGAGAACCTCATCACAAAAGAGAAGAAAACACAGTTTCCCACACATTGTGAGGAGTCTTTCTTCATAAGTGTCCAGTTCTGAAGAGTCTGTACTGGTCAGCAGCCAGTGCAGGGCCTGGGGCCTCTGTGACCTTCACAGCTTATTGTGCATTGGCACATGTTAAAAGAACAAGTACCTTAACTTAGTAGTGTCAACCCCGAGTGTACTGATAACCCCACTTGTTGAATGCATTTTGCTTCGTTGTCGCTGTGGAAAGCCGCTGAATGGTGTGTGTTTTCTTCCAGTCAAGCGCTTCAGAGAGCCAAAGCATGAGAGACGGCCGTGGAGGATATGGTGCGTATTTAAATATTAACACCTTCCTAGAATGCCATGGGCTATTTGGGGTTTATTTGCAGGGAGGGCAGGGGGCAATGTGAGCGGTTCTCCAGAACATAAAGTGTTAGGATCCCTTAGTTGAATCAATCATTAGGAACTACGAATAATATGAAAGATTTCTATTTCTCCAGATAACATTGAGCTTTGCCTTTATTCTATCATCACACTGCTGGCCAGTTTTAGAAAACGGAGGATCAGACAGATATATCACTGTGTGCTGCAAGTCCCTTTAATTATGTCTCCCTGGTGTTAGATTGTGATAAATCCTCAGATTCTGTAGTCTGTGTGTATGAGCAGAACATTATCTATATTTAGAGATTACTCAGATATACCATGTATATGCTTCTCTCCCCAAAACTAGTCTTTCCTAGTCCTAGGATGACCCTGTGGTAGCAGTTTTTCCTTCATAAAAGGAGGGTAAAGCTTCAGACACAGCTTCCAAAGACAAAACTCCAGAAAATAAGGTGACAGCCAGTTCTTCGGAACAACATGTCCACAAGAAGCTGACTTTCTTGGGCTGTGTTAGGCTTGCAGGTGTGCTAACAAAATAGCCATTTTCCCCTCCGGAGAAGACGTCAGATAAATCACTGTGATAAAGGCCCTTTACAACATTTTAAGCATCTCCTTATTGATCTGCAGTGCATTATTTGTGAATGTTGATCATTCTTGTTTTTATTTTCCCCGGTCGGTTTCTCTTGAATCTGGGTATCTAGCTTGGGCTGGGGGACCTGGGGAGGGTCTGGAGCTGGGGCACTCTGTGGGGCACACATTGTCCTTTGGAGGGGGATTTCTACTTTGCCATTATTTCAGGAAATGATTTTTAAGCTTCAGTCATGGGGTTGGTCTGGATAATCTCCAAAGTCCATTCAGCCCTAAGACCCCAAGGCTGATGGTCCATGCCTGTGTGCCCCTCACCACCCCCTTCAGTGGCCTAGCCCAACCCTGGATGCCCAGCCTGGGAGACCAGGAGATTGACTGCAATCCAAAGACTACCTGTGGTTTCCAGGTGTTCATGGCAGGGGAGAAACTAAAGACCCCTCATGGATGGGGCAACATGGTGTCTCCAGAACGAACACCCTGCCATCTAGCCCAAGAGTTGACAAACTACAGCCCACAGGCCCAATCTGGCACGCTGTCCATTTTCATAAAGGGTTGCAAGAATGGCGGGCTCTCCGGCTGCTCTCACACTGCAGTGGTGGGGCGGGGGGCGGCCCCCCTGACCAGTTGCTGCAAACAGTGGCCTGCAAAGCCTAAAATATTTACTCTCTGGCCCTTTACAGAAAATATCTGTCCACCCCAGGCTAGCCCAGGGCATAAATGGCAGCAGCCAGAAGTCATTAGAGTTTGAGCTGCAGTGCTGGATTTGGGCGTCTTGTTAGTCTTGCACAGCATTTAGCTCTGAGTGAGGTTGAATGGGAGCTCTTTAAAACAGAGGCACCTTGGACTTCATCGCGAAGCTATGGTCGAGCATTTTGAAATAACAAAAAATGAAAAAGTAAACACACCTAATTTAAATATATGTTTAAACATGTGTTATACATCAGTGGCCTTTTAGGGGTTTATACAGTGTTTATGATGTTATAAATCAGTGGCCTTTTAGTGTTATTGAAGGGTTCAAAAGGTAGCCGAGATGCCAAGCCTGAGTTAGTGCTGATGCCGGGGGAAGGGGTGACTAGTAATGGGGAAGTTGAGATCTCCCTGCTAGCTTTCTTCCTGTTTCAGACTTCTCATTTCCCCTAAATTGGATATTACCCTCCTGTTGGGGTGGTAACAAGTGCTGATCCTATTTTGTGCAGGTTTTTAGACACTTCCAAACAAGCCATAGGAATGCTGTTCATCCACTTTGCAAATGTGTACCTAGCAGATCTCACTGAAGAGGACCCTTGTTCACTGTAAGTGGCTGATATTCCAGTACAAACATCACCCACCCGTCCACTGAAATTGTAGGCTGGTCTTGCTTTCTGCCACCAGTCATGTTCCCTCTAGCTTGGGGAGGGAGCAACCCCCCATTGTGCTCTGTGTTCCCCCAAATGACCATATTCTGTGTGCTGCCTGTGGTTGCTCTAACACAGCTGTCAGTTGACCATTAGGGCTTTCCCTGCTTACGGTTGCCCTGCGCATTGGCTTTCTGCTCGTCAGAACTCTGGTCCTTGGTGTTCTGGTACTTTTATGCCTCCTGGCAGGGAGCAGTCCCTGGCAGGATGGCATCGTGCCCTGAAGGAGTATCTCTGCTGGAACTGGACACACAAGGGCTCCTCTGTGATGCCACCTGCTTAGGGTCAAAGCCATTGTTGACCATCATTGACCTCTTTGACCTGAAGACCACAGGTTGTTCCAGCACATCCCTGCAGTGTGCCTTCCACACAGTCCCCCACCCTAAGAAATCTGACTGAATCCCCAAATTGTGCCTCTCCTGGCAGATGGAGTGGAAAAGGAGGCTCACCTGCCCTATCCTGGCTCCATCTCCTACCTTCCTGGCTCAGACTTGCTCAAGCCAGTGCTGTGCTGGTGGCCCTGAACCCCACCAGCTACCTCCTGCTTCTATGCCTTTGCTCATGCTGCCCTCTGCCTGGAACACACACCCCCCCCCACCACCACCGCCACCCCTGTCCTGCCCCTGCCTCTGAGAGAGCAGGGTGGATGGCTGGTGAGTCCCTTGCCAAGAGGTTTAGTGTGTATTTAAGAACATTTGGACTGGAAGATTCTTTTAAGGCTCCTTCCTTGATGACTGTGTAGATTTAGATTTCAGAAGGAAGTCGTGAAGTCGCCCAGAATCTTTCTCTAAGAACTGGACAGGTTGTGATCTATTTGGATGTTTGGGTGTATGTAGTCACAAAGCAGAAGAGTAGAAAGGTGACCCTTCTGTAGGGGAGATGGTTAGGAAAGGGCCTTGTCCTTCCAACTCTTGAGCCCCCCAGCAGGCTTGAGTCATTGTCTGATCTTGTTAATCATCTTGATGTCGTTGACCAGGATAGACTGAGAGCCTGCTACTTGCACAGGAGCCTCTAACCTAACTCCTGGTGTAGCCTCAGCCATGTGCAGGACTCTCCCTTGCAGCACCTCCATTGCCCATCTGCAAAAAGAAGATGATACAGCTTTAAGAGGGACATTGACAAACTGAATCATAGCCAGGATGGAGAAAGGGCTGTTGACCGATCTTGAGTGCTCAGCCTGGAGGAGAAAAGGCCCAAGATGGAGTTTGGTATGGTGAAGGCACTTGACTGAGAGGCCAGACTGAGCCATAGTTTGCTCCCCTGTCCTGTGTGTCCTGCCAGATCCCCAGGATTCCTATGAAGGTTTCAGGAGTTGATGAGTATAAGCGCCACTGGAAACCAACCAGTGGGGCACTTCTCAGGAAGTTAACAGTTCAGTTAGAGGAAGTTGTTGTTAAAACTTAGGAAAGGCATGAGAGCCCCAGCAGTGGGGACAAGAACAGGTGGTGCTTGGGGAGTAGATCGCATGTGCCCTGGGATCTGTTCCAGGTCCTACCATCCTTGCTCTGCCCTGTGACTTTTTACAGGTGGGCTGGGTTGGGCTGGCCCTGGGGCATCTTGGGAGTCTGCAGACCGGAAAGGAAGCCAGCCTCAGCTCAGGGAAAGCTCAAACAGAAGGAGACAACTGCTCCCTGTGGCTGCATGGGTCCCGTGTGCTGGGGGCTCTGCTCCTTCCTCTGGACAGCTTTGTTGGCCGGGTGCGGG